CCACTTGTATTTTGCCTTTTAGGTTGTTCTCCCTGTGTTGATTGTATGATAGCAGTTTGCTTTGGGTCGGCTTGTGCCGACTAATAACGATTAAAACTCCTATCAATCAAGTGAAGTTGACGCGGAAGTCCAAAATACTAGTTTGACAGCTCTGGAGATGATGTCATGTTTTCGATGCTTTTTCATTTGCAGGCCTCCTCATAACAAAACTTGAGGCACCTATTTTCATGGTTTTGCAATCGATTAGTTAGTTGTCTATGGACTTGAATATCGTTGTCATTTTAAAAAAATCACCAGTTATCTCTTGTCCGAGAATGGGCAGAATAGATTGAAAAAAGTGCAGGGCCGCGAGAGTCCGTTGAAAGTATCTACTTGCGTTTTGCTTGCATAGCAAGACGTTGTGAGAAAACCTCGTAACCATGTACAAAATTATGGAATGAACGAGAACGGATCAAAGTAAAACAAAAGAAAATTAAACTTAACAAGTTCCTTAACATATTCCTATAAACTCGGTACCTATATAAACTTAGGGATTCATATGTTGCTTTAAAGAACTAAGACAGATTGCTCGTGGTTAACTTGTGACTCTGATTCGGGCGGTGTGAATGGTTAGATTCCCAAATCTGTAGTTTCATAAACGCAAAATTTACTGGTGTTTGGGTATAAAGGGTTAAACGACTTGCCGGTGTTAAAAGATAACTATGATTGAGAACAATCACTTTCCCTTCAGGATCCCCGCGCAGAAATGAATAATGGTGAAACTAATCGAGCAAAATTGCAGAAGCTGACATCATAAGGCACGAAAGTAACAGAGCACACATGAAAATCGAACTCGTCATGGCGCGCATCCCTTCTTCCTGAAGATATATAAATTCATACGGGAATTCCGTATACAAAATTTTTGTAATCGTGGGAACTTCCTGGCTGTCTCTTAACCAACGAAACCTGAGTGTTACCTCGCTGTCTTTTGTTTAAATATTATGATTTCTTTTGAAATTGTGTCTGCAAGCTATGTATTCAATTTATAGTTATTCAAGTTTTTTTACTAAGCGTTTCAAGGAGTCAATTCAGTAAAAATAGTATTGACAAAACGGCGGTTCAAGTCTGTAAATTAGATGAGAGATGAAAGGAAATAACTATATTCGTCACCAAACATTGATTGCAGAGGAGATCATCAAACTAATAAGCTAGAATTGGAGATGACGCAGGTGAATTTATGCACCAAAATGTCTTTTTGCTTTGTTCTGTTCTGTTTTTCTACTTAGCCTTTTACTTTAGATTGTATCGAAGTACTTTTCTTTCTTTCGTTTATTCTTTCTCATTTTTTTCTTCTCTTCTTTTTTTCTTTGTGGCATAAATGTTGTCACATCAAGTAATTAAAAATTTTAAATGTTAAAAGCTTATCGCGGCGGGGCAAGCTAAGAATATTAGCGCCTTCCCCTCAATGAGTTGGTACCGTCGGTGGGTAAAGAGGTGGCCGATCTTCAAATTGAGAATACTTCTTCGAGATGCTGTCAGTCGGTATATCACGCAAGATACGCCAATTTTTTGTTGATCGGCCGAATGCTGTCCGTTTTTTTAATTTAACTACACTGTTGAACAGATAACTACCTATGTGCCATTAAGTCCGATGATTTTCATGGTTTTAAGATGATCATTTACTTTCAATTAATGTTACGTCATCAGTAATATTGTTACTAAATTTTACGTATAGTGATTAGCAGCATGGTAAACGAGGTAACTTAACTAGAAACATTGTGGTAAGAATTTTAACGTAGATCATATTAGTCTTACATTTTCCGCTTTACAAATAGTTTATAGTGGTGAGAGGACCGAATGGAATCTAATTCGTCTGTAATCATATTAGTGATAAACAAAACCGGACAACCGCGAAGCGGGAATTCAATTTGTCGATCACGAGTATGATTACACATAGAATAGAACGACACGATTAATCATAAACAATCATAACCGTTACAATTTTAGGAAAAAAAATACATTTAGGCCAGACATCTCCGGTAGGGACCATGTCTAAAGTATCAAATTCCACCGTTTTGGAAATTCCTCAGTTTTTTTTTTCTTCCTTTTTTCAGTAGTAGTTTAGAAAGTGGTTGCTGCTATGGTTATTGTATTCAATTGTGTTCAATTGGTATACTTAGCTGAAAAGACTTAGTTTGATTGGCTGTTCGAAATGTCCGATTACAGCCAACTGCCCGATAACACTGTCCGATTGCAACTGTACATTATGATAAGTGATCAGTAAAGCAGTTAATGCACCTATCACATTTGAGGAAATGCGATGGTTATGATTAGTTTTATAATTGGCATTTCCCATAAGCTAACACTTCAAATGCGTTATTTGTTCTGTTAGGATGGATGAGGTCTTGTGTATTGTTTACAATTGTTTACTTTCATTCTTTAATGATTGAACTGGTGCACTAATCGGGTGCATTGAACTACATAATTCAGATTACCTTACGGAATGCAAACTAAGATTTTTCTTGACCAATACATACACCTAAAAAGCAAACTAGTTGCCTAAAATTGAAGGTATTGCAAGTTAAGTTATCTAGTAATCTGTCGAAGTTTTGAATATTCATATTTAATTTGAGCTCTGCCAACATGATCCATGTACTAGCCAACTTTTTCTCCGCCACGTTTTCAATCTTCTATCGCAAGGGCATATTAACAACGATTGTCCGAAAAGGAGCACAAGAGGAGGAGCGCAAGAGAAGAAGTACGTTAGAAGGAGTAGGAATTGATGATATCATTGTTTCATAGTGGCACGGGTTCAGGAGGTGTGATGTTTCATGAAGCACTTTTGTTAAGAGCTCAGACCTAGCAAAACATTTTGGAGAGAAGAACAATGGCTAGAGAAATATTTGAAGAGCTAAAGGATTGGATATTTTGGTTATTAGAGAATGGGAAAATAATAGAAAGACACCGTCAAAACAAAACCTATGGGGCCAAAAGGGGAAGAGATATTTACGACTTTTATATGTTAGAAGTTGCATGATTAAAGAACAAGTCTCTGTAAGAACCAAGCATCTTGGGAAATGAAAATTTTCAAACCCCCTTCCAATTTTGCATGCAGTTAGGCACTCAGGGGGATGCACAAAAATTCCCTTTTTAAAGGTCGCAGCACTCTTGTTGCCATGGTAACAAGGCTGCTTGTTCGAGGCCTGGGGCATAAAAAAGGGTCGCAAAAAAAGAGTAAAATGTTTATTTCTCTATCTCAAGCTAAATACAAAATAACAAATTGGCACGTCTACCATATATAGAAACATCATTTTTCCTTACTTCGATACATTTAATTTTCCCTGAGAGTGAATGTGAACAAACCAATAGATTATTTATCTCCGTACAGTTTCGGTAATTTTTGTTGTCGGGTAAAACAGGGAAAACATTTATCCGAATTTCTCCAAAAGTACACCGATTCTGGAACTAAAACTACCCACCTAGCTGGTTATAATATTCTAGTTTTTAAATATATAAAAATCTCTGCGGGTCTGCCTCTACTTTTTATAGGAGCAATTCGCGAACAAAGCTCAAAAATCAGATATTGCATAATTTGGCGATGTTTACATCTAATGTTCTCAACAACAAATGTTTCAGAAAAATGAAACGCGCAAGGCTTTGAAAGAATGTTATCTTATGAGCAATATCTCGAAGAGAAATCTCATATCGTCCAGATTCCGAGTGTTGCACCTTCTTTCATAGGAATTTGAGCGATCTGAAGTCCTCTGAAGATACACTGTTATACTTGTATGTCATTTAAAACATGTTGAAGTCGGCTGTATTTCTCCATGTAGTTTCCATCGGTCGCCCCAAAGAAGACGAGAAATAGACATTTTTCGATATATCAGCAGGTTTCCGCGCATTCTTAGTAAAAACAACCAAAAAAGAAGAATAAAACCTCGATTGAACGCTCGTAAACACTGAGAACCTAAGAGCAGAAATCGCAACTTGTCAGCGGCAGTACAACATGTAACCCGGTCGCCACAGTAGCAATTTATTTGTACGACTCACGCGAAAATCATCACCAAGTAGAGATTTTGCACTACTCAGTATCCCTGCAGTACAGCAAACGGAGCAGGGATTTCATCACAATCAATTTCCAAAAATTTACCTTTTTCCAGGGAGTCTTTCACGTGCTCGAACGTTATGTTGGCTTTGAGCCTTGAGACTTATTTCCCTTGACAATAAAATGCTATAGAAAGTGCCTACAAAATTACAAAGGAACTATTTTTAGTGTCGCTTGGACCGAGAAATACAGATTTGAAATGATTAATGCTGTCACTGATGAACCAAAGGGCACAATCTTCTCAGTTATTAGCTCGATAATCTCTACAGACCAACGTTATTGGACCAAACGATCTCCTTTTTCTTCCTGGTGAACCGGCCACCTCAGGGGAAAATTAAAGAGACCTTTGATTTCCTCTCGACCTCTGCGCGGTCCCTGTTGTTCCAGAAACTGCCAACAACAACAGAAACGAAGCTAAAAAATACAAGGTCATCGAAAATATAATAAATTGATCTCACGACTTCAAACCTCTCCTTGTTTTTTATGCCCCCCCCCCCCCCTCCCCTTAGTGCCTGTCAATCAATTATGGCTGATTCCCCCCAACTAATTACACGGCTGACTGGGACTCAGAGTACATTAATTAACAGATACGATAAAGTCAGAATTAGAAAGTTCTCAGTTAAATCAGTAACACATTTCATTCTTTCTTAGACGGTCGATGCAATTTCTTGCGGAGATCCACGCTATTTGAGACCTTTTCATACTGTTCGCTTATTTGTGTCTCTTCACTTAAACAAAAAGATCTTATACCGAGAATATATCCCCCAAATTACCAATGCCAAAAAAGGTGTTATATCACATCTTTTGTTTATCTGAAATGAAATAAGCCCAATGCTGAAACTGTCATATTTCAGCATCGATCAGAGTTTACAGTCCTACACAAGTTGAGACATAGAGTGTTTGCAAAAGATCCTCAAAATGCGCTATTCATTTCCAGTTTGTTTTATCGCTGATTTCGTGATATGCGTTGCCCTGTTACATGTTGCGAGATCTTCGTTGCTCATAAGCGGTAACGAAACACCATCTGTCAACATTAATCACTGCGACAAGGTGTTGGTTTGTAACTGTGACTTAAATCAAGACTCTAATGTCAGCAAGGCCATAAAAGCGCTTGAAACAAAGCTGGAAAAACTCATTGCTTTGGTTAACAGAACCGCGACTCCGCAACCACAACAAGCACCAGGTAATCCGCTATGAAATAATTGATCAACCTTCCTCAAGCTTAAGCTCATTAAGTTTCCTTTATCACAGTTTCAGTAGGTCCCTTCTCCTCTTGCAAGGAACAGTACGAGAAAGGAAAGTAAGTTCATCGTTTTGATCACAAAATACCATTTTGGCATGCTGCATGCTATATATTTTTTTATTTAGTTGCAGTAGATTAAAAAAGCCTTATGACTGTCACTGTGATGTTCTTTTTGTTTACTCTCTATACCCTAACATCAGTATGCATATTCTCCACACTGTTCTCTACACATCTCTGGACAAGTGGCTGACAAGGAATAATTGTTGAAGAACTTATGTAGTCGGTGGTCATTTCCTCTATTCTCGTCACTTTATTGTGTGACTCAGAGGTGTTATTGTAGAGACAAATAAGATGTGAATCACTCTTAGAGGCTAAAGGGTTGAATACAACGACAGTTAATAGATTAGAGAAATAATTCCACAGCAGAAGAATGAGAAAATTTGGCGTATCATAATTTCACCACCACTAAAAGAAAAGTAAGAAATTTTCCAAATAAAACGTAAAGGCCTCTTGACACTCGAAGGGCCAAACTCAGTCTTATAGAGAATTTACTAGTGATTTATAATGACCACATCAAACGAAGTAAAAGAGTACTTAAGGGACATCCAATCTCATTTATTAGCTCTTTTATTCTTAAAAGTAACTTTAAAAAACGTAATCTTTTTACTTTTGAGAAAAATAGAAATCTGCTCTACCTATTTAGTTGAAGCCAACGGAGACTTTCTAGTTAAACGTCGGCTTCGGAGCGGCGTGTCGCGGTTGTAAGCTGTGGTAGAATTTTGCTATTGTTCGCGACGCACGATGAAAACAAACGTGTGTGTCACGTGGAGCAAAGAAGTGTGTCTACCTCGGCACTGAGTGAAATGGCTCACTAGCGAGTGAAATAGCACGCAGTCTACGGTAGCCGTGTCTGCGCCTTTGTGCTTCTCTCGCCCTGCAATCTAGCCGCAAGCATTTAAGCAAAGCTTGGAAGAAAATCACAGGTCACTCGCAAATTTTCAGTTGAGGTAGTCGTCTTTGTATTTCTATGGCGCACGCGCGTCTTTTTGCGCACGTGTCAGGTTGAGCAATCATTTAAAATCATTTAAAGCAGCAAAACTGCAAAAAAAAATTATGAAATCGATCAAAACCGAAAACTGCATGAGATCCTCGACGTCTCTCCTCTACTCGTTTAAAAAAGGGGGGGGGGGGAAACGCGGATGCCTATGTTATTTCACCTAAAAGAAGTTATTTTAGTAACATTTGGTTTGTCATGCATTCCTATCAATAACATTTGCCTTTCGAGCCTCATTCGAGATCAGTGGAGGTGCATAATTGTTTCTCAGATCGATCCCAAATAGGAAAAAACCGAAAACCGCATCGAATACCAAATCCCAAAACCCGTAAGTATTTTGGTCTAAACCGAAAAGCAAATGCTAAAACACCGAGAAAACGATAAAACAAATAGCCAAAACCGCAAAACCGAAAATCCCAGCACTCCCCTGGTTGAGACAAAGACTTGTGCATGCCACACAGAAGGTGCCAGGCCAGTCTTTGTTTTGCCCGTGTAATCCATCTTACTCCATGCGCATTTCTCTCATCCTGAGATGCGCTAACCCAAATTGTTTCTAATTTGCGTTGGCTGTCAGAAATTACCTATTTCATTTCTGGCACACTCCTGAAGTAGTTAACATTTTGCAGAAGTGGACGTATGCACGTTTGTTTTATGCTTGGTGAGCTTAGCGGTGACGAGATGTTGAGAAAATAAAAATTAACATTTTTTTTGGAGTCATGTTTTTTTTTTCACTTTTTCGATGTTATAGCTCTCTTCAGCTGGCTGCTAATTACAAAAGACAAATGCTTTTTTTTCTTTGCCGACATCTCGAAATAAGAAATGTCGGCAAAGAAATCTGCAAAATACTTTTACAACCCTACAACCACTGTTTCACTCATCAAAACTTTTCCTTCAGGAATTGTTTTATTCCTCGTCTGCCATCGCTTTCGTTTGTTCGTTTCTGACTTTCTAAACTGATAAAACGAAATAAATAGTCGTCAATTTATCTTTTAATCTTTTAAATATAGTGATAATAATTATATTTCTTATTCCTTTCCTCTAAGGTCAAGACGAAGCCAAGTGTACCTGCTGAGGTTTGGTTCACAGGAGATTAATGTTTACTGTCACATGGGGAACTTTGGGTGTGGAGGTGGAGGATGGACGCTGGCCATGAAGATTGATGGCACAAAGGTAAAATACATATGCTCCACCGACAAGTCAATGGGGATATTTTATCAAAATGAAGATGTTTACGTATTTTTCATTCCTAACTCAGAGTACTTTCCATTATGAATCGCACTTCTGGAACGACAGAAATTCCTTTAATCTTCTTGGAGCTAAGACTGGCTTCGACTTACAAGAAACAAAATTGCCGACTTACTGGAACACATACTTCTCCAAGATCTGTCTCGGTATGAGAATCGGCCATCAGAACAGGTTCATGATAATCAACAGGCACGCTAACTCTCTTTACTCACTGATTGCTGATGGAAAATACCGCGCCACCTCACTGGGTCGTTACAGTTGGAGGAGACTGATTGGTTCGGACGCCTCCTTACAGCGCAATTGTAATAGGGAAGGATTTAATGCTAGGACATCCGTAGGTTATTCCAAAGCACGAATTGGCATCATTGCTAACAACGAAAACGATTGCAGCTCCTGTAATTCTAGAATTGGATTTGGTACAGGAGGATCCAATGATGACTCAAACACCTGTGGAAACGAGGCGATTGCTGCGGCAGATAATGGAGACAAACACATCAAAGCCATGGGATACATTTTGGTGCAGTGACGTGAAAAGCAAAGTTTTTCAAAGAAATGGCTGTAAAGTCAGGCCCTTTGTGAACTGGACTATGGGCAAAGGCAACTTATTGAGTGGGAGGTCTGAATAAAAGTCTGTTAAAAAAATCAGTGTATCTTTCAAAATAATTTTCACAAAGATACGTTTTAACATTAAATTGTTTTCATTAAAAACTGGCCTATGATACGTGAATCTAATTTATGTTGGAAACAAATTAAAACTCAGCTATGGAACCATAACTGGAAATTGATTAGGCCTGCTTTTTGACTATTTTTATCCATATTTGTTAAACATCAGTAATGTAACAGACGGGCTCTTCATTTTTACTTAAGAGCGGTAGTGATAAAAGAACCCCTATTGCTGTATATATGTTCAACTGAAATAAAAATTCGATCCTCTGAAAGAGGTGAATAGTACCATTTTGTGATTAAATATTCACTCTGGGCGAAGCATTTATTCTTAACAAGTTTGGCGTGAAAATTGTCCTCAGCATTCTTCCAGCCCGCAGAGAATCGGTTTAATAACAACATTCTCGAGGTGATTATCAAAATGGTAGCACCTCCTTTACTTCTATGTTTCTTAATTATCAGAAACAAAAGGAACTATCCGTCGGCCGTGTTGAGATTAGTGCGTCGAGATTAGGATCATCGCATGTAGGTTAGGAGGTAAATATTTAGTTCTTCAGTGTTACAATAAAAAGTGTCAATTGTCATTCTTTAAAATCTTCCACTAAGAGCGTCATCTAGCAGGGAGTTTCATAACTCTGTGACTGTTAGATGACTGTCCATTATTTTTCATTAAAAAAATGAAAACTCTTGCAAAGACATTGAAGTCACGCAATGTGACTAACCATCCCTACAACTTTTATTTTTATTATTTTTTTTTAATTGATGGTTTTCTCTGTCACGCAAATTAAATCTAAAATCAAAACTATTAAATGCCAGACGCCAAGAAAGTGAGCTATTGTAAAAGACTGATGAATAAAGAATTTTCCTAAGTCTCAGGACTAAGGATTTTCCCTGATGAGTTATTTACTAAAAATGTCTGACATAAATTTAAAGAGCTTGGTAAAGGGACGCCATGTTGGTGCCCCTTGGATGGGCGCCAACATGGCGGCTATGAGGTAATATAAATATTTGTTGTCTTCTTTCGTAACTTAAGAGATTAGTTATCCCATGTAAACTTGCGAACATTCCTTTAAACACATTTTTTTAATGTTGCGAATGCTCAAAATGAAATGTTATTTTACAAACGTACTAGCTCCCCGGGCCGCTATTTCAATGTCGTGTGGCGAAAAATTAGGAAATTAGAAATAGCTCTATTTTCAGAATGAAGAACCCTACGACGCTGAAACCTTTCCAAAAAATTAATTTTTCGAGTCTTTTGTCTTTCAGAATTGTAATAGCCCTTGTAAATTTGGATTTTGGATCTTTATGACGTCATGTGAAAACCTCCTTCCTCCAAGGTAAACGTACCGCCACATTTAAGTTACAGTAAGAACTGCGAACCAGGTCCTCTCGCTCTCTTAGCTGGCTGAAAGCGGAAGGGTTCTGTACTTGAACATGTTCGATTTTTCTTATACCTCTTTGATCGGTAATTTATTTTGATTTTATCGGTCAAGCTTTGCTTTCTTTTCATTTTGCACAAACTCAACAACAGGGACCTTAATCCAATGCTCGGGAGAGCGATATTCTGATCAGTTACATTAATTAAACGGATCTTTCAAATAATTCTCAAATCAGCGAGGCCATCAAAACGCTTGAGACGAAGCAGGAGAACCTTATTGAACGGGCAAGCAGGAAAGGTTCCAATGTTTGGGAAAGCGATATTCTGATCATTTACATCAATTAAACAGATCTTATAATTGATTCTCAAACAAGCAAGGCCATTACCCCGCTTGAGACGAAGCCGGAGAACCTTATTGCACGGGTAGACATAAACAATGGTTATCAGCCGGGATATGTGATAAATTCCAAATAGTCATTGTTGTGTTTCCTAACAACCGGCCTCGTCAAATAAACACGAGACAAATAAGCACGTTCATAATAATTTTAATCTTGAAGTGTAAATTTTAATACTTGATCGACTGATGTTTAAGTCCATTTTGTGTGATGATTATGAGTCTTATCTTAATTTTAATTTTATACTGCTATTATTATTATTATTATTACAAAGAAAATGTTGTATTTATAGTGAATAAAGCCCTCCTGTTTTTGTTAGCCTTCGTTAAGTGTGTCATCGCAGAGATCCAAGTGTATACGCTAACACTTGGTTTGCAAAAGATTTCTCTTCGCTGTAAAATTGGAAACGTTGGATGAGATGGATGATGGATGCTGACCATAGGGATGGACGGCACAAAGGCCAAAATCTTTCTGCTGTGAAAGTTTTGTGACTCGTTTTATTTTAAACCACTGTAACTCTAGAATTGGTGTTCGCAGAGTAGAACTCAATAATAATGATAATCGTGGTTTCCATGCAAGATCCTGATTGATTAGTGGAGATGAAGACATCAAATCCACCTGCTACATTCTATCAAATTTTACCTGCCAGCTAGTTCAATGCTAAACTACTTCAGGATCATAACGAACTCTTTAGACAATTAAGCAACCGAGGGTTCGGTTTATAACGGGAAGTCGTAAAATGCGCCGAGTGATAGTTACAGATGAGCTCTCTTTAACAAAATTGTCGGGTAAATTACTATTTTTTTCCATTCTCATTTAACGAAATGGAGTAATTTGAATAATTTTAATGTCTTCAAAGGCTGGGACTTCATTGGCTAAGAAAGAAATGGAAAGTCATGCTCATGACAGAACGTTGTCAATTAGCTTTTACCTGCATATTAATTTATACATGTGTTTGCGAGAATTTTTCGATTAAGTTCTTTGCCACGATGTTCATACATTCAAGTGGTATCTGTATTGCTTTGGTGTTGTGCAGAATTGCCTCTGCAACTCAAGGTGAGATACATTTTAACCCATCACTAAAGATAGAAATTGAGCCGAAAAATATACTTTTCCTCATTTTCTTCACACACATTGTTTGATATGTTTTATAGTTTTGGAGGTATATCTGTACAAACAAAACCGTTATCTCATTTATGAAATACGTGTATTTCATAGATGAGATAACGGTTTGTTTTAAACCTGTAAAATCAAATAAATTATTTGTGGGTCGATCTTAAATAGGCATCTAGATGGATCCTGTCTCCAGGATTTGGGGGTCAATTTTGAGTAGGCATCATCTACATGGATCCTGCCTGCACTTTAAACGGAGAATTCAACATTATTATCTTTATCATTATCAGAAATTTGCAGTATTCGGCTCTGCGTGAAGTATCTTAGGTGACAGCACAACTCAATATAAGCTCGAAAACTAGCGGCGCTAAGGTCAAATCGACAAATCTACAAAAGCGCTGAGCACTCGTCAGAAATCGAACGGAGCAAGGAAAATTTCATTGTCTTTCATCTAGGGGATTCCAAATACTCATGTAAAACTATTTTCGGCTTAAAATTACCAAAATGTTGGGCCAAATGAAATTACTGAGCATTAAGTGGAAAAGCGCGTAGTGAAATCAGTAGTCTGAAGAAACTTTTGAAGGCTTTGACAGTAGGTTATTTTTAGCTTCTCAGAGGCATAACTATAATATTTCTCTAATACCTTCTGTGATTTTAAAAAAATATATTTTATGATTTTTGTTTTCAAATGTTATTGACATGAAAAATGGTTTTCCGCTAAGTACGCGAGCGCGTGTTCTGTCGGTCGCCTTTTGTAAAAATGTTTCAAATTCTTACAAGTATATTATTAAAATATTTCTTTATTATCCAATGGGGCTCTTTAAGGACATCTTTTAAGATCTTTGTCTTTCAAATATTATAGACCTAAAAAATTATTTTCCACTTAGCAGTCGAGACTTTGCAGCAGTCGTCGCTTTCTTGTTTCGATAAAATTGTCGCTCTGTGTAATAAAACTTGTCGCACTTCGTAATAAAACTTGTCGCACTTTGTGATGAAACAGCTGTCACACTTTGTAAAAATAGACCCTTGCACTTTGCAACAAATTAACGTGGCGCACTTTCTAGCAAAGTTTGTCGCACCTTGTAACGGTCTTGGAAAAGAAGGTCGGAGGGCAGGTAGACCCAATGATACATATAACTGTCATTCTCATCACTATTATTTTTTTGTTTGCGTGGTAGGTTTGGAGAAGACAGCTTTTTGTTTAAGTTTAGTTCATGCGGCTTAATTCATGCACGTATTTACATATAAGATCTGGTCTATTAGACCCGGCTCGCGTTAATCGAGTCACGCTTAGAATTACAGAATTACTATCGTAACAATTTTTATTATCATTTTCATTCTCGTCACTATTAACATTACTTTTGCTCTTATTATTTATATCATAATAAACGTTTCTATTACTTTTATTATCATTATATTTTACCATTATTATTGTTATTATTATCATTATTATTAAAGACAATTATCATTTGGTCTTATTGTCCTCTGACAGATTTTTAATATAAATTGTGACAAGAGTTTTTACAAAGTACAGCAAGTTTTACAAAGTGGTAATACGAATTGTGAATATCCAATAGTTAACTGTAATGACTTTAATTTTGGCTTCAACGCTTAAACTAAGTTTATTTTGAATTATGTAAAGACTTCTGTGACGCAGACCAATGCCGCACTTTGGAGTTTCCACCTGAAAAAGCATTCGATGGCGCACGGCTTATAAACCATTTGATTCGCGTCGTCGAAGTCAATGTTGCAAGATTTTGTGAGAACGTCTGTTACATGGATCCTGACTGTGTCAGCATTAATCTTAATAAAAGGGCAGATGGAAATGGAAATTATAAATGTGAACTGAATAATTTTACTTGTGAAGGACACAAGAAGGATCTGAGGGAGGACCAAGATTTTTTTCATCATTCAGCTGAGGTATGTATTAACTGCTAATTTATCCATTAAGAAACGAAAAAAAAAGCATCAAATTAATCATTCA